TATTTGCAATAAAATTGTCCACTTTTTAGTTTTAAATCATGTTATTTTTTCACCATAGTAAGTAAAAGACGCGTTAAATACGTGTATTTTTGTATTTTATAATGTAAATTACGTAGCTTCAAAAATTGTTTGATAATTTATCAATTTTAGTTAAAATTACGATTGCATTAATTTAGATAATTTTTTCAGTTAGAAATTATTTTTTTTATAATAATATCCATTTGTTTTGTGGCAATACATTTACAAATAATAATCCCTCCAAAAGCCATCGCAAGTGCTATGAAAGGGATTATCCAATACTCGGCTCGTATTCACTGGATTCAAGTCTTTCACATTAATTGTATTGTTAGCCAACAATTGCGGCCAATTATCGTCGGGTTTGCTAAACACAACGCAAACATAAAATACAATTAAATAAAACTCAATAACAAAACAAATTACCCGTATTTCGCGAAATTAGTCCACATCTGCATTATATGACGGCTAAACTGTATGTCGTCGAGTGTGGCCATATCGGGCATAAGGAACGGTATGCCAAACACATAGGTCATATCAGTTGCGTGACAAACGCCCTTGGTGGCAACGTCACAGTTACACAGTTTGGCCAACACCGGGCTAACATAGGTGAGCTCGTAGAAATAAACATTACGCGCATTCGCTTTAACATTACGGGCAAACTGTTTGGCAAACATATATGTGGGACACGTCATCATGAGATGGCCCGCCAAGTCGTAAAATGCCCACCGGAGGGCCGATTCGCTGGACGTGTTCACACCTTTAAGGTAAAATGTAGCCGCTTTATCTGGGTCTATACCCGGGTAAAAACGATCCTTAAATTCTTGTGTGCATTTTTTGAAAGCATCAAGAGTCATCTCGCTCACTTTATATAATAATAGCATGGACAGTTTTGAGCCCTCATCGTGTGTCACGCCCGCCATTATATCGATATCTAAACATCAAATTAATAATTATATTGGTTCACCTTATTATAATACAGTATTATTAATATTAGTGTGTTTACCATGGTTATATTTCATAGTTTCAAATGCATTTTGAGCCCTGAGTGGCAAAAATTGATCGCCAGTTAAGGGAAATATAAGGCCAATCTCGTAGGCTATCAAGTCGTCGGTGTCGAGCGCTCGCAGGCATTGTAACCAATCGCTAGTTTCGGTACAATTGAATTGTTTTGCAAATTGTTTCGCTTTTGTTAAGGCCTGGGATTTTGTCCATTGATCGATGTTTTTGTTGTTCATATGGGCGCCCGACTGCATGATAGCCCTCTTGAATAGGCCTTTGGATAGCGGGGAGAGTATGTGTGCGGACACCGACCAACTCCCGGCGCTCATACCAAAAATGGTGATCCGATCCCTATCTCCGCCAAACTTATGAGCATTTTCTCTAACCTATTATTATGGCATTCATTTACATATATATTATTATTATATATTATTTCATCGATTAATAAATTTAGAAATTATAATAAAACAATCGATCAATTGATACCCATTTGAGAGCCAATAACTGGTCATAAAAGCCTACATTTCCGGGCGCGTCCTCCCGATCCCCGTATAGCCAACCAAAGTTGCCTAACCTATAGTTTACGGTCACAATCATCACATCATGTGTGGCCAAAACACTCCCATTGACAATAGGCATAAAAAATATTGATCCCATCATAAATGCCCCGCCGTGTATGAAAAACATAATGGGTTTGAGCTGTGATTTGTTTGTGTTATTATTGCCCGCATTTGGTGTCCATATGTTTAATACCAAACAGTCTTCACTATATGTTATGTTCATTTTATTCCAATTATTTGCCCCCAATTGCATTTGCGGACATGAATTGCATGTTTTTGATCCGTCTATTATGTACTGAATATTTATAAACAATTTATTTATTATTAGAATTAATAGTTTGATTCATATTTGTATTAAATATTCATTTAATTACATTGAGTGATGTTTTGATGGGTTCAGGTTTGGCAAACCGGAGTCTCCCGACGGGTGGTTCGGCATAAGGTATACCCAAAAACTGGTCAATACTTGTGTTGAGCACATGTAGTGTCTGACCTCTCACTACACCCGATGTTGTCTTCACATCAATACATGATATTAATTTAAAACACAATAAAATTTTTAATAAAATAATAAATATAAGCATAATTTATTAATAGTATTAATTTAATACTGTATTAGAGTATTATTATACAAGTAATTAATTGTATAATTGAACAAAAGTATTATTATATAAAAATTTTATATTATAATTTATATTTTATTTCGATTATAATAAAAGGTATCAGAAGTTATAATGAATAAATAAATGAACATTTATACCAAAGTAAACTTTTTATGTTGCATTTTTTAAAGCAAAAATAAGTAATTTTATTTGTCATTTAAATTAACGACTTGATAAATTAAATAAACTGATATTGTTCAAAATGTAATACAGCGAGTGTTTTTATAAATATTTAATCATGCAATCTATCAGGTTTATTTATTCAGTTTTTGTATTTAAATAATCTCAATTTTAATAACATACAGATCCTGACAACCAAAACTTACGTCGGCATTATTGGATTTAAAATTAACTGGATGATTATATTTCAAATCCGACTTCAGCATGTTGAAGCCAGATAATGTACAAATTTTTTGAGGTATATATTTTTGTCTCACATATATATTCAATATATTCTCAACACATTAAATGAGACACAAAACCAAATGTTTGGATACATTTTGATGGCAAAGAGCTAATGGAATATTGCTTTACTATAACCGTATGTTTTGTTATACAAAACAACACATACAGATCCTGACAACCAAAACTTACGTCGGCATTATTGGATTTAAAATTAACTGGATGATTATATTTCAAATCCGACTTCAGCATGTTGAAGCCAGATAATGTACAAATTTTTTGAGGTATATAAAGTTATAGTTACTTATCTTGGTATATTTTTAATAATAATGTTTTTACGGACGAATATTTCCATAGAAAAACAATGGAGTGTTTTTAACTAAAAAAGTCTGTATTTCAAAAACTAAAAGTCCTAGCTTAATTCTGTCTTCACCATTCGAACCAGCGTTAAAAATAGCGTCGAAATTCGTATTGGCATATTGTTAAATATCTATGTTAAAAAATCAATATTATAACAAAATATTTATTCAGAACTATAGGCTATATTTAATTAATAATCTGAGAAATGGCAATATACGTGTCGACTTATTTTTAACGTTGTTTCGAACGGTGAAGACAGAATTAAGCTAGGACTTTTAGTTTTTGCTGTGCAGATAAGGCTTATATATAAATTATATTTATTGAGCTAGGACAAAATTATTTTGTTTTCATATGCACACTATTGTTCTATATTTGTGTATAAAATTATACTATATTTACTTTATTAGTTAGGGAATTATTGTAATTTTATGTGAAATTTTATTTATTTTCGGTTTCTTAGACTATAATTTTGTTTTCATATGCACACTATTGTTCTATATTTGTGTATAAAATTATACTATATTTACTTTATTAGTTAGGGAATTATTGTAATTTTATGTGAAATTTTATTTATTTTCGGTTTCTTAGACTATACGTTTCCATTGTTTTCTATGGAAATATTCGTCCGTAAAAACATTATTATTAAAAATATACCAAGATAAGTAACTATAACTTTATATACCTCAAAAAATTTGTACATTATCTGGCTTCAACATGCTGAAGTCGGATTTGAAATATAATCATCCGGTTAATTTTAAATCCAATAATGCCGACGTAAGTTTTGGTTGTCAGGATCTGTATACTGATTAAATGGACTCATTTTCTCTCAATAACATATATTACTGTCAAAATTCATTTCATTTATTGTATGACTGGTTTGTTTGAGTCTAACAAATGAAAAATAGTCACACATTTTCTCTATACAATGAAACATGAACTTGTGAACTTGGTCAATTTGAGCATCTAGTTTACACAAATCATTTTGAACTAAAAGTATAGTTAATACATAAATGTTTGTATTATTTTATAAAATTACAAATTTATAAGTAGTAATTTTCTGTTGTTTTAATAATTTAATGGCTGTAAACAACTCATTAACAGTTTTATTTACAAAATATTTTAGTGCTGTCATTTATATTTGAGCTATAATTTTGTTATTTTGTATAATTCATACAACTTATTGTGAAATGAATGTCACATAAATTTAGCTACAATTAGTTTACACAGATCATTGGTTCACACAACTCATGCTCGTTTAATATTATGTCTATACTGTAGGGCTAGATTTACCAGGCACAAAAAAAATGCTATTATAAATTAGACGTGATTATTGAATCATCAAGTTAATTTTTAAACTATTGTTCACTATAAACGTTACAATGCTTTTAGTCATTTGGTGCCCCATTTTTAATAATAAATAGTAAACATTAATATTTGTAATGTTCAAAGTTTGAATTTCAAACCAAATTCACACTGATTGTTTACTTTATATATGAATAATATAGTAATAGTACATAAATGACCTTTTCTATTATAAATTCTATGTGTACGCTCGTGCACTTTTTGGAATTACTAGCTGTAGGGGTTTGTGTTTTGAGATTTGGTTCATACAAATGCTTAGATCACACAACTCATGGTTTACCCAAATCATCTTTTACTGTATACGATGTGTGTATAATATCTAGATAATAATAATTACATTTGTAATTACAGCACATATGATAAAAAATAATTAAATTTTTCTTATCTAATAGTAAATAAAACAAATAAATGTTAGAAAACGACCATGGACTCATTTTAGTATTTGTTTATAGCATTCAATAATTCAATTGAAATAAATTCTTTAAAATAAAACTCCGGAATATTTCACATTTCAAAATGTTTACATTGAATGAGAAATGATTCGTTAAAACATCTATTTTTACACACAGTATATAAATATAATTTAATATTAATTATAATAATAGTCTTGAGTTTAGGAGAAAATGTTTCGACATTTTAAATAATAATTTGTTTGTAAAAGTTTCGGACTTATAATAAATGATGAGTTTATTTATGTTTATTTCCTATAATTAATCGCTTTTACCACTTATTTACAGCACTCGTAGTGTATATACGAATTGAATTGTGG